TGCCTATCTTTTTGAATAGATTAAGTAGTATTAGATGTAGCTCTTCTTTAAATGTCTGATAGAATTCTGCTGTAAATCCATCTGGTCCTGGGCTTTTTTTAGTCGGGAGGTTTTGTATTTCTGTTTCAATTTCTTTTTGTGTTATGGGTCTGTTTAAGCTGTTAATCTCTTCTTGGTTTAGTTTTGGTGGTTCCCATGCCTTTAGATATCTGTCCATTTCTTTCAGGTTTTCAAATTTAATAGCATATAGGTTTTTAAAGCATTCTCTTATAATGTTCTGTATCATTCTGTTATCTGTTTTGATGGTTCCCCTTTCACCTCTGATTTTGTTGATTTGGAGGTGCTCTTTCTTTCTTTTGGTTAACTGGGCTAGCGGTCTGTTGATCTTGCTTATCTTTTCAAAGAACCAGCTCTTGGTTTCGTTGATTCTTTGTTTTCTTTGTTTCGATTTTATTATTTGCTGCTCTAATTTTTATATCTACCTGTTTGCTGGGTTTGGGTTTTGTTTGTTGTTGCTTTTCAAGTGTCTTGAGTTGCAGTGTTAAGTCATTTATTTGTGTTCTTTCTGATTTTTTGATGTAGGCACTTAGAGCTATAAACTTGCCTCTAAGGACTGTTTTCAGTATGTCCCAGAGGTTTTGTTGTGTTGTATTGTCAGTTTCATTTAGTTCCTGGAATACTTTTATTTCTTTCTTAATTTCTCTTTTGACCAATTCATCATTTAGGAGTGTGTTGTTTAATCTCCATGTGTTCATGTGGTTGATTAGGGGTTCTTCCGTTGTTGATTGTGAGCCTTATTGCATTGTGGTCTGATAGAATTCATGAAATTATTTCAATCTTTTTGTATTTGTTGAAGTTTGTTTTGTGCCCCAGTATATGGTCGATTTGGGAGAAGGTTCCATGGGGTGCTGAGTAGAAAGTATGTCCTTTGGTGCTTGGGTGGAATACTCGGTAGATGTCTGTTAAGTCCATTTGATATATGGTATTGTTTAATTCAGATGTTTCTCTGATAACTCTCTACCCTGTTGACCTATCTAATGGAGACAGTAGGGTATTGATGTCCCCTTCTATTAATGAGTTGGGATTAATCTGGGTCTTAAAGTCCTGGGGATTTTGAAATTTCTGACATGCATATTGGGTTATTTTTGAAAATCATCTAAGTTAAACTGTTCAGTGTGTTCCATTAATGTAAAATCCAGTCTCTTTTATGGCCTGACATCTCTAGCCACACTGCATACTCTTGTCCTCCTGGCTCACTTTTCTCATATCTCCAGCTCTGATACAACCCCCCCTCGGAGCAGCTATCCCTGACTCTGCTGTCTGATGAAGTTGTGTTCCCCTGGGGTCATGTTTACTTTGTCCTATGTCCTTATTGAATACTAAAAACAATCTGACATTGCCTTGCTGTGTTCGTTTAGATAGTATCATTTGAAGCTAAGAGCCTGGACTTATGGCCTGATTTTGCATTCTAATTATTTGATGTTAACTTAGCACTTTGTGTCTCAGTTTCTTCATCAAATATTGGAGGTAACATGGCCAGTGAGATTGCTCAGTGAGTAAAAGCTCTTGTCTTATAAACCTTTCAATCTGAGTTCAAGTTCTGGAACCCATAAAAAAGTTACTGTGGTACACACAGAAACAAACAATAATAAATAAAATTTAATTAATTAAAATAAAATTGGAGACAATAGCATTTTCCTTAGAGTGTTATGAATTATAAATGATGAGTAAATATCAACATTCAGTTACTTTCAGTGACTAAGTATAAACTAAATGCTGACTTATTTTTGCTGATTGTTGATTTTCTGTCTTCTCTGACTAAGCTCTGACAGCAAGGACTTGTCTCTCTTGTTCCCCCATTATAGTCTTAGGAGACAGAACATTTCTGAGATACAGAAAACACTCCCGCGTTTGTCCTTGAATGAAGAATAGTTAAAATTGAATTCTCATTTCTTTAAAACATTCTTGGAAATATATAACAAAAAGAATATTTGGGGGGATTGGGAGATGACTCATTAGGTAAAGTGCTTGTGAGGATCTGAGTTTGGATCCCTAGCATCCATGGTTTTTTTTAAAAAAAAAGCTAGGCATAATGGTGCAGCTCTGTAACCCCGTGGCTGGGAATGAGGAGACAATGAGCTGGAGTTAGCCAGCCAATCTAGCTGAATCATTGAGTTTCAAATTAATTAAGAAACTCTGAGACGACATCTGACATCAGCCTCTGCTTCCACATGTACACATGCATCTGTACATATACCCTTTATGACACAAAAGAATATTTTTTCATATATATCATCTGCAGTTGTAAAATTCAGTAACTATTTTCATATTCAAATTCAGTGTCAGAGTATGAATGCCTGCTAGAATCACGTATCTTAAAAGCACTGGCCAGGTAGTAAAATCTGAAAGAGAATTGAGAAGTTATTCCTATCTGTCTGGGGAGACAGTTCAGTCTGTAAAGTGTTTGCCATGCAAGCTTGAAGAGCTGAGTTTGGTCTCCAGAATCCACATTTTAAATAGCTGGGCACCATAGTTGTAATCTCAGCACTGGGGCAGAACGGTGGCATAACATGTGGGCATTTTGGCTAGCTAGTCTAGCCTAATTGGTGAGCTCCAGGCCAGTGAGAGACCCTGTCTCAGGAAAACAAAGTGAATAGCTTCATCTAGGGTTGTTTTCTGGCTTACACATTTGCACGTACTGGACACACACACACACACACACACACACAATTCTATTCTAAAAGGCTAAAAATAATGAAACCTATTATTTTGTACAGTTATAATAAGCTATTAAAAAAAGAAATAAAGGCTAGAAATTCAAATCCTCTTTAAATGGTTGTGAGTTTAGTAAGTAATCACGCTTGATCTTTAAAGAAATTATTTTCTGGTATACCAGTAATTACTAGTTGAGACCATAATTGAAGAAAAGGCAGGAAAAAGGTAAAATACCTAGCAATATCCATAACAAAATATGTAAAATGGATAGGAAGACTGTGTCCTACTCTTCCTGTGTGTGTGGAGGGGGAGGTGTTGTGGGGAGGGAGAGAGAAGGGTGTCTCACTATAGCCTAGGCTAACCTCAAACTGAAGATCCTCCTCCCTCAGCCCCCTGAGTGCTGGGATTATACACATGTATTCCATCATGCCCAGCTCGGAATTATGTCTTTATGTCCTTTCATTACAAAAAAAAAAGATAAGTATTTTATTTCCAGGTAGTAATATTCCAAATTATTGTATTAATGTTAACTTATTGCAAGTCAACCATATTTAGGGAGAAGGACTTGCCAAAGTTAGTTAAAAGCTCATGTGAAAATGAACAGAAATGGTATGATGGCTGCCTTTTTTTTTTTTTTTTTTTAAAAAAAAAGACAAGGTCTCACTCTGTATTCATGGCTGACTTAGAATTCACTATGCAGACCAGGCTTGCCTCAACACCACCATACCTGGCTTTATGGCTGCTTTTTAACAAAGATTCTTTTGTTTTTGTTTTTGTTTTTGGAGACAGGGTCTCCCAGCTGACCTGTAACTCTCTATGTAGGCCAGGCTGGCCTTGATCTCACAGAGATCCACCTACCTCTGCTGGTATTAAAGGAATGTGCCACCACACCCAGCTTTAATCTTTTTAAAGATTCTTAACAGACAAACATAGTCACTAAGAGAGAATAAAATTCATACTTTACTAATATTTCAGTCTATGTAACAGGCTCTGAAGTAAAGTACACTATAAATCTCTCACCAGTAGATAAGAGCATGCCATGTACTTTTACACTAAGGAATTTCTGGTATAACAGCTTATAGTGTATGCATAGTTTCAGATTACATCAAAGACGGCACCAAAATTATTTTGATGAGTCTAAGTAAATTTTAAACATTTGGTATGGAAAAGAGATTTTCCATTGAATCTGTACAGTGTAGAGTAACTTTTGTGCCCTAGTTTGCCCAGGACTTTTCCTGGTCTTAACAAAAGAAGCCCAGTGTCTCCAGAAGCCTCAGGCCAGAACAGCTGATCACATTACAGTCTATAGAAAAGGTGCTTCTTTCTACAAATGATCTGAAAAACAAATGAATAGCCAGTATCTGATGTAGTCTAGAGTGGCCCATCTAGTGGCACATCCAGGCCTCAAATTGCTCTAGGCTAAGAGTTCCCTTAGTAGTCTTTATTTGTTCAGGAGATAATCAGATTTGGATTTACTCAATAATCCATAGTAAGATTCAGTCAGACTCTAGGAATCATGTATGAACAGAGTAGGAGGAAGCCACATGAAAGTCTTCAGTTTTACAGCTGATCTCTGGTATTTACTGTGTGTTGATTTTTAGGGTTACTCCCTGCAGGCTGAATTTCTTAGGAGAAGTCACTATTCTAGGAATTTGTTTGCTTCAGATTCTATCACTGTTGTCTTTCTAATATATCAACCAAAGGAGTTGTTTTCTCCAAATGCTAATTTTTTATCTTTTGCCATGATCTGCAGAGAATTTAAGATGATGTATTTAGTTAATATTATAGATGAATATTATGGAACATTTGGAGGGGGTGTATTTTTATTGCCATTAGGTTGACAAGCATATTTTATGTAGAGAATAAGTGGCCATGGGATGCCAAGCCCCAGTTGGTACATCTATAATACAACCCCCACACCTAAGGCTCAGGGAAACACAGCAGAAGCAGAAAGAGTATAAGAGCAGAGCACCAAGAAGTGTCATCTTTGAGATGTGTCATCTAGATGAGACAAGGATGATGCAAAAATTAAACATCCTTTTAAAAAGAAAAGCATTTTAAGCAGGCCTGTTGATACAGGTCTGTCTTAGGTACTTGAGAGGCTAAATATCATTAAAAGTTCAAGGCCTGCCTGGGCTACAGAGCAAGTTCAAGGCCACCTGAGCAACCTAGTGAGACCTGTCCCAGTGTAAAAAGTATAAAGAGGGCTGATTGGTTTCTTTGCATGCTAAGTAAAATATAATCTCTCACCACAACTAAGATATTACTTTATCATTATTTTTTAGTGTCTAAAAAGCACGGCAAGCTCATTACTTTCTTAAGAACATTCATGAAGTCGCGTCCAACAAAACAGAAGCTAAAGCAGCGGGGAATCTTGAAAGAAAGAGTATTTGGTTGTGACCTGGGGGAGCACCTTCTGAATTCTGGTTTCGAAGGTAAAGGTTAAATTTATAATTTATATATGATATCAGTTCCTGACCTGTTTGTATTGGTTTTCTGTTATCAATTATTGGGGGACATGAGGTGAATGGTATCTGCTTCAACTTAATTCTCCTCTTGGCACTGAGCTTTCAGCAACTACCTCAGTTCTGAAGGGAGCTGAGATTTAGGATGTGCTTTGCCCAGAGTTGCTTCTGACCCTTAGGAAGCCCATGGAATGCACACAAGGGAAATCCATGGCACACATACAAGGGAAGCCCATGGCACACACACACACAGACACCAGGGAAGCACATGGCATGCATACAAAGGGTATAGCAGCATCATTACTCTCTGGGTTTTGTTGTCCAGATAACTTCTTAGCCAGGTTCTTTGCTCATGTCCTAAAACATGTATTTAATACTCTTTGTGGAAATAAAAAAATATGCCAGGTGTGATGTTAAGAGTATAAAATACTAAAATCAGTCTCCTAGCTTTTATTTCTCTTTACTTTTTGAGTCAGGTACTTAGTGGTTGGATAAATGAATGAACAGAAAAAAGGGGCTTGAGGTTTTACTTCTAAAATTTTAATCAGGACAGGAAGCTATTTTTTAATATCGAGATTGTATTTAAGCATGTAAGGAACCTTCTAAAATTCAGAACTTCACATATTTGTTACATAATATATAACTACAGTTATACCATATGAATATATGTTATATACACATATAAACTCTTTTAAAGTCTAAATTAAAAGAATTAGAATTAAATGTACATTTTGTATAATATTTTAAACTCTAAATTAAAACAAAATAATCATGAGGAATATGGTATTCAAATATTTTATATGTAACTGGGAAGATATGAGAAATATGCATAAAATAAAAACAGATATAACTATATAATATTATAAATTTTGTACCTATGATCACTTTTCTTTCATTTAAATTTTAAGTTATAGCCATGTGCCACATAATGATGTGTTGATGGATTGTGTATATGACAGTGGCATTACAAGGTTACAGTTTGGCTAAAAATTCCTGTTAATTAATGGTGCTGTAGGCTTCAAAAAAAATTCTCATACAGGACTGGAGATCCCAGGTCCTGAGTTCAAATTGCTCACCTTGTCCCACAAACAAAGAGCCTAGGGCAGCACATCCCTTATGTGTTTATGACAGTATTACTGTACACAGACCTACTATGATGATTGTGGTATAAAAGTGTAACCTACACAATTTAATTATTAGTGTAAATGTTTGCTTTTTGAGACAGGGTCTGCTGTGTAACCCTGGCTGGTCTGCAACTCCCTATGTAGACCAAGTTGACTATGGAAGATCCTTTTGCCCTCGCCTCTTGAATCCTGGGATTACAAGTTTGACCCACCATGCTTGACTACGTACATATTCTTGATAATGCAAATGAATAATGGTATTGCTAGTTTATGTAATTACTATACTATTTAAAAATAAGAACATTTTTATTATAGAAAATTATATGCTTCATTATGACATTTTCATATGTTATGTAATATGCTTTTGTTGTTATTTTAGAGTATATTAATGTCTAAGAGTTACTATGGCATTTTATACTATGCTAGCAGTAGCCTTACATGTCTTGCATTTGCTCTGTTTCTCGACTGGATTATTTTTCTCTTGTGTTTAATACACAGGTAGGTCAGTCACTGATGGTTATTGCTTGTCAGGCATGCCCAATCCATCATAGCTCTGGTCTTGAACAATAAGGAAATGATAGTAACTCTTAAGAGATCTGGTTTATTAAAGACTCATAACTGGTCAAAGTGCTGAGAATAAATGACCATTGAGCACTTAGCTCTAAGGAGGGCATCTACATCGTCTCCAAGGCTCAGGGACTATCATTGAAGAGGGGAGCAAAGAGACTATAAGAGCCAAAAGATGGGAAGGAGTGCTGGGAAGCACTGTCTTTGGACATAGATGATTGTTGTGCTCATGAACTCACAGTGACAGTGGCTGCTTATATAAGATCTGTGTAAGACTAGGTCCATCATAAAGGTCCCCCTCCATCCACCGAACTATAGGCAATTAATGATTGCTGGGAAAGGGAATGTTATATTCCTCAATGGTGTATCCATTGGTAAGTAGTCACCTTGCTCAAGTAAATAAGCCCCACCTATGCTCAAGTAGACAACCCTAATTAAATGGAATGGGCTACAAACACACAGAAAAAGACATGAAAGTAGGAAGGGATTATTTTTGTACCAGGTACATACAGTTAAAATATACATATGTATAATGCACTGAGTCCATTTAGAAGTTCTCATGTGTACCTGTGTTTAGGACTGTCCACTTCGGATTACCTCTCAGGTAGCTAGTCCCTGGAGAAAACTGATTCTCCTTCCCTCAGCATTCCTTCATTGCCTATAGCTCTTTATCTTGAGGTGGGACCCCTTGAGATTTCCCCCATCCACCTTGGCATGTCAGCTGGTTTTGTCATTATATAGTCTTATTAGATTACCATACAGCGGCTATGTCATTGGTGTAGCTTTCCTATTATGCCTAGAATGCATTAACTAGTAGCAGGTGTCTTTTCTCTCTGCCTCTTACATTCTTCTAGCCCCCTCGTCTCTGATGTTTCCTGAGCCTTAGGTATAGAGGTTGCAATGTAGATAAAGAGGACAATAAATGGTGATGGAGTTGGGGGACCATGGAAGGAGTTGGAGGGGGACTGAGAGGAGTAGAAATAAAGCATATACAATACTCATGTATGAAACACTCAAAAAATAATTTTTTGGGCTGGAGAGATGGCTCATTGGTTAAGAGCACTGGCTGTTCTTGCAGAGGACCCGGGTTCAAATCACAGCACCCACATGGTGGCTAACAACTGCATATAACTTCAGTTCCAGGGGATACAGTGTCCTCACATGACCTCCGCAGACACTGCATGACACTGGTACACCTACCTACATGCAGGCAATACACTCACATGTATAATAAAAATAATGAATAAAATATTAAATAATAATTTTTAGAAAAGAGGGCATGAAGTTGAAAGCATGTAGGGGTGGATCTGTGAGGAATTAGGGTGAAAAGCAGGGGGAGAATATGTTCAAAGTACATTGTATGGTTGTATGTTACAAAACTAAAAATTAAAGGAATGAAAAGAAAGTATGTGGCAAATGGTTGAGAAGAAGAAAGGTTTGATGGGAGGAGGAAAGGGCTAGGAGAGCACCAGTGGGGGGAATATGATCAAAGTACTTTATATGACTATTTCTTATCTACATATGTCAAGTTGTGAAAGAATAAATTAATTTTTAAAAGATAGCTTTGCATTATAGACAATAAGACTAACAAAAATTGAGAAGACCCAGGGCTGGAGAGATGGCTTAGTGGTTAAGAACATGTACTGCTCTTCCAGAGGGTGAGGGTTCAGTTTCTAATACCCATGTCAGGTGGCTCACAACCTCCTAGAACTTCAGCTCTGAGGCATCTGATTTTGGCCACCATGGGCACTGGCACACACATATGGCATTTACTCACATAGATAGAGATGCATGCAGATAAATAAAAAAAAACAAAACAAATCTTTTAAAAATTTGAGAGGCTCTTACCTGGATTGAGGACTAGACAGAGAAGCACATTCCAAAGCAGTATTTTTTTTCCCCCAATATTGACAGGAAAGCCTAGGGCCTGCCCCTCTGGGGGTATTGATTTCACTTTAGTTCTGTTTGCTATAAGCAATTCAAGAGTCATTACTCATTCTATAATGTGAAAGTGAGTGATGCATCTGAGAGTTTATGTGGAGGTAGCTGAAGAATTTGGGAAACTAGATAAGCTGATTATGAGGAAAACTACTTGCCAAAGAAGATGTACAACATGAGGAAAATCTCCCTGTTCTATAAACAGATTCCTGAAGTGACCTTCCTCTATGGACAGGCCAAGGCAATGCCAGGTATCACAACTTTTAAGGACAGGACTATTGCTTTGCTTAGGCTACAAACTGAAACCTTTTGTCACCTGGCAGAGTGAACCAGGGGCCTTCAGGTATGTGAGTAAGCATGTACCAACAGTGGGGTGCAGGGTCTGCAAGTCAGGAGTCTCCAGCTCCTCATGTAAAGTACCTCACAAAGTGCTGTGCTAGTAAAATGCAGGTACTGTTGAAAGAATTACACACTGTAAGATGTTGCTTGTTGTTGGTAATGTTTCTACACTTCCTCCTTTATTGATAATCTTTATCCTCCTAGCAACATGATGTTTTTTTTTTCCTCCCAAACACCAGCTCTTTGATAAGTAAGGAGTTCATACACTACCTAAGGCCAACTTGTGCTAAGACTGATAAGAGTTCTGGTCAGATTGCAGCATGATGACTACATTCAGAGTCTTGCTTGGGCATCATATTACCAAAGCACATTATGAATGGCATCTGGAAGACCTGCAAAAAGGTCAGAAGATTTGCCAAGGTGGGAATGTGAAAATCAGCAAGGCTGAGGGGGAGATGGCAGATGCCTTTACTCTGGTTGTGGGTAAGGACAGCACGCAGCTCCTAGAGATGTTCCTGAGGGACTGATGAAAGAGGAATTACTAGAATGGAATCAGAAATGCATAGTTGAAGAAGAGACAAGAGTAAAGGTAACACTACAGAAGAACCAGCCTTCCAGGAAATTGAGACATGTAGTAGACGTTTTTGTAGCCCTCAGCTAGCTCCTTAAAAGGTATGAATCAGTGGACCCCCAACATCAGAAGGTTTCTTTAACAGAGAGGCCTGCCATGGCATCACCTGCCTATCAGCAGCAAACCTATGATAGAATAAGAGAAGTAAACTCGACAGCTTATTATGGACACTAGTAAACAGCTCTCCATGGATAGCCTTGTCAGGTCCTCTGGAGATCCCAGAAAGCATTGTCATCAAAAGTGACAGCTCTGTGAACCACCATTGCCACTGAGGATCTTCCAGTGTGTCAAGATGACAGGTGGGAGGTAGTAATAATGAGAATCCTTACCCTGTGTCAGGCTAGGCTAACAGGTGTTTATGTCTTCGTTTT